GGCCGGAGAGGGCAGGCCCAGGCGCCCTCCTGAGGGCCCCCCTGCGGGGGGCGGCCGGGGGAGGATGGGGGGCTCGGGGGGCCGGGTGAAGGGACGTCTGTCACTAGGCTGTAGGGTTTTTTTCCCGCTGCTGACGCAGCTCGGCAGGCACCCAGAGGGGACGGTCCTCGGGTCGGTACCTCAGGCCCACACGGATGGCACTCGGGCAACAGGTGCGCCCTTCCCACAGAGCGCGGCTGTGACACTCGCAGGGTTACGGCCGGCGCGCGAGTACCGGTAACGGCTATAATTCACGTAGGGAAGGAACCCAGCGACGGCCGTCATCCCCGCCGAGCGTCAGCCTGGGCGTTCAGGTGTAAGGCTGGCTTGGAGCGTTTGACCGGCGAGGCCTGTCTGCGGCCTAAGGCTGTACCCCCCGGGACAACTGAGCGCTAAAAGCAAGGCTGTGGCGAAACCTGTTGCTTCAGGCAGAGTACTGCTGGCCAGGACTCTTCTCACTGAGTCTCTGCTCCCTGCCAGCAGCTGTCACTCTCAGATCATACCAGACATCCCCAAATTCTATAGGATTCCAGGTGGCCAATTCTTATTTTCTCCTGAGCAGATGAGTAGTTAAATATTTTCAAGTTGTATGTTGAAATCAACTTCTATAAACTTAAGAACTTGCTGTTCTTCATGCAGCTGTAAATTACAGGGGTATCTTGCGCTTCTCTTGCTGTTCTCTAATGCCTTACCAGTGAAAAAGTGTGGTCTTAATGGCTGGTATATTTGTATGGAGATCCCATTTTTTTTTATATCTCTTATTTTAAAATAATAAAAATTTATTGGAATCAGATTATATGGAGGACTTTCTTCTATCTGTAACAGAGGTCAGCTGCTATTTTTCTTTCAATTTTCCCTATAAGAAAACTTCTTTTGCTATCGTAAGTCATACCACTGTTCCCATTTTGAGAAGAGCAGACTGTACTCACACCAGGAGTATCCTGACTTCAGTCCCATTTTGGCTTCTGACTTTTCCAATTATTTTTTTCAGGAAAAGCCTGGAATTATTTTGGACAAATACAGATAGTTAGCCTTGCTACACTGTACTGTTCTCCTCATTGTCTTTCGTCCTGTCATTCATCTGCATATTCCTGTTCAAAGACTCATTCATACAAGGGCACTGGGAAAGGAGCAGGATCTTTTATAAGGAACAGGTTTGACCTCTCTTAATTTAACATTTTCATTTTGCACACAGAGACCCTTCATCTCTTCTGAAACCAGAAAGATATGAAAGGCACTTTCCAAGCCAAGCTGGCACTTGTGTTTGATTAGTTTTCTTCCCTAATTGCCTAGTTTAGGTTTGAGTTAAAGTACTCCCTTTTGAAATATTTAGGTTTAATCCTGTTGATTTAATCCAGCAAGAATCATCAGCTTTTGGAAGTGCCTATCCAAATCCAGTAGATGAAAATAGAATAGCCAGTAATACCTCTTCATGTGCCAATATATGGTATTCCCAAATAATTTTCTGCAATACAGATTTTTCATTTATGTACCTTTTTTGTATTAGCTGAATACAGCCTGATACTTGGATGAAGTTGCAAAACACAGTGCATAAACTATTGTGGTGTTACTAACTTCTTTTTTTTTCTTACAGATATTGTGAGCCACTATATTTTGGGAGATTTTTAGACCATACTATAACCACATGTGTCAAAGAAGAGCCTGTTCATTTGATATTAATATAACAAGTTTAATAAAGCAATAGTTGCAACATTGGAAATAAAAATATTTTGCTTGATCCCTGCATGTAGGCTGCCTTATAATGTAGCTAAGCTTTCAGCAATAACTGCCATCTTAATGCTTATGTCTGATTTTGGAACCCTTTTTTATTTTTGAGGTTCCAGTTTAAGTGATTCATTTCTAGAATGATAATAAGAAAATATGCCAATCATTCAGAAAAAATTACTTCACTGATTTTGTGGAGCAATAGCTTTGTCTCTGACTTCGGATTAGACATCACAGATGTAGTAGAGGTAGCTTTTCTCTCATTGTTTCAAAAAAGGCGTATCCCTTTTGCTGTTCTTGAAGAAAATTTTACATAGGGCAAATTAGCTACCCTATGTAAATAAAATTAATTCAATAGTTATTAGAAAGCTTCCTAAATTTGTAGACAGGATCTCTGAAGATTGGATGCATACTATACCTGTTCCAATCTGTGGCTAGGGATTTCTTCTGCAGCTGGTGCTCCTGGCTACTTTGAAACACAAATCAACAACAAGGGGAAAGAAAGGTTTGTAGTCTAGAGACAGAGACTATCCAACTCATTGAAGAACAGGTCTGTAACTTTGATCTCATGTCTATTTATGGGAAGCTAGAGAGCAAGGGGAAAGAAGTGTTGAAAAAATGGGTTCTTATTGTCTGAAATACACTGTGGTCCAGTTTGCCTCCTGTAGGCTCCAGCTGTCTATTAGTTAGAAAGGCCTAAGCTGCCACCTTCCCCCCCACACACAATGAGCAGCGATTAAGAGACACCTGCATTGAACAAATCATTTCCTCATTAAATTTAATAAGAGATTTTATCAAAAATGGGCTTTTCCTGTGACAAACAAAGCTTCAAAGCTTCTTACCAAAGCACTATTCAACTTTGGAAGGGTGAAGTATGATGACAGTAAAATTGTTACTAACTGTAATTGAGACAGCTGTAAAATTGAGAATATATGCCCATTTGCTGAACCTTCTTTCAAAAGAGTTCAGTAAGTCAGTTTATTATAGTCAGTTTACTGTATAGTGATGTCTGCAATCCCTTGCCATTTAAACATTGTACTCCTGTATTACTAAAAGTGGAAGTTATTCTGACATTACAGAATTTTAGCAAGCTACATTACTACTTCTTAGACAATACCAATTTGAACAAATTTTAATAAAGGTTAATGACATGCTTTATGCCTACATGGCCACATGCGTACTAAACTGGATTAGCTGCAGGCAAAGACACAGTGCAGGGTCCTGTCATCAAAAAAGAAAAGTCATTAAATAAAAAACTGGGAAAAAAAGCCCACAAAACAATTGCAGCAAACAAATTTAGTTTTCTTGGGGAAAGAAAAAAAAAAGGCTTTTTTGTAGGTCACAAGACTGCAGATTGGGTTAACTGTACAAGGGCAGGTAAGGTGCAGATACAGGTGTACAGTTACCTCACTTCAGCTGTCTGCCAAAGGAGCAGTGGATGAATCAGTCTTTATGTGAAAGGAGCAGCTTTTTCAAACTTGCTCGAGACTAATGTTATATTCAACTACTTGCATTTGATTGCACTGAAACCTGTATTTTTCCCTTATTGGGGATGGGTTAGCTGTATTGTTTAATTGTCTAATAAAATTTGCTGGTTTTATGTAACAGCAGTTACAAGATTCCAACATTCTGTTTTAGTTTACAATTTGATGATAAATTTGCTTGCCAGAGTTGCTACTTTCTGTATACAAGGCTCTTCATCCTCTCTAGCCCTTAAAGAAAAGCTAAATGATTTTGAATTGTCTCTCTCCATTTTGTGCTTTCAGTCAGAGAAGTCAAAGGAAGGTAGTATCCTCCAACTAGTTTTTACAATTTTTTTTAACATTGCAGAAGTGGCCAAATGAAATTTAATTGAAACGCTACACAGCCAATTCCAGTTCATGCAGACATGGAAAATTTCAGTTTGACAAGGAGTAACTATAAATGAGTAAAAGAATTACAACATAGGAGTTCATCAGTTTTCACAGATATGCCTAGAAAACTGTAATGTTAAAAGCAAACAGACAGCTAACACTACCTCAATAGCTAAGTATATTTAGCGTTACAATGAACAGTGTTCCAAAATGGGTGTTTTTACTACTTTGCTTGGACTAGAAGGACCATAAACTAAAGCTGTAGTTTTGGGAGTCCTGGCCCAAAGAATTATGGCAATATGTGCTATTACTGCTTGACTGTCACGAGGAGCTGTTGGAAGTTACCTCACCAACTTAATCCACTTCAGTACAAAGTTAACCAGGTAAGCAGTAGCAGGCTTCTGTGGCAGAACAGGAATGACATCAACTTCCTGAACCATCTGTGCACTTAATATTTGATTACAGCCAAAGGCCTAAATTGTTCACAAGTTACTAAAGACAAAGGTGAAGGGTAGGTTAGATGGAGCAGCATGCATTTAAGGTGGAAGGCCACTATAAAAGTTAGAAATTAAATACAAATATTTTTCAGTAAATCTAGTAGCTACAGAGTGTCATTCAAAAAAGAGTAGATACAGCCTCTTCTTGAACAGTTTGAAGTTATACCTGATTATTAAACCACCTGTTAATCACATGACACATTCTGAACAGCTTAGTAGACCAGCTTTTTGGGTATTTCCCATGTAAATTCTTCTCTCCCAAAGTGCCCATAGCATGCTGTTTTTTGGTAGATTGGCTTCTTCAAATCCAGCTCCCTTAATGAAAAGAAGAAAAAATGAAGTCTTACACTTCACTCCAACATATATTATGATTTAGACACATCAGAATAATAATCAGTATTATCCTTGGGATAAAGACAATAAAACCTAGGTGTTGTTTCCTTCCCCAATCACCCAGATTTACAGCAGGAAAGGTAGTGAGCTGATGTTTTCAATTTTAACATGACTAGAAACAGTCAAGCTTTCTTCAAATGTATCAGAGATGTAGTTAAGTGTACAGTTAAGTTTTAGAAGCATTACAGTGCAGAAACGTTACAAGTGGAGTAAAGTTCAGCTATAGCTGTGCAAGCATCAATGTGTTTTCTGTTATTGCAAGTGTAATATAGAGTATTTTCTAATGCTACTGTGCCAGAAAGAAAATGATCTTGTGTTTCTCAAAAGAAGCAGCCAAAGATGATGATCTAGCAGACTTAACTGGAGGTTTAACAGCTTCTAGATGCACAAAGTCACTATTTCGAATAGGGCGTAACACTCATTATGACTAGATAAATACTCAGTACATTTTGTGACCAGATTTATTAACTGGCCCTTGTATGTTGTACTGGGTTCATGGGTTAGGGAAGAGCAGAAACGACAGCAGTTGTAGATTTATGATGAAGGTGACTTTCATGAGGTTAGAAGCTAGAAACTTTAAACTGTTAAAGAGAGCATTGAAAATATGATTCCCTTCAGTAAATACTAATAGCACAAAAACCTTATGATAGCTCCAGGGCGTAGATCAAAGTTTTTCTGCACAATCTCAAGCAGTTCTTCTTCAGATCTGTCTGACGTTCCATAGTGAAACACTGAGATCGCAAGAGGATGACTCAGACCAATAGCGTATGAGAGCTGTAGATACAATCCAAGCACAATTAAAACAGTCATACCTACTTTTTGCTTAAGATAATGGAAAATCTTATCTTATGTATCAGGGGAAGATTTTGTCCACATCTTCTGCTTAAAGAAAGCTAGGAGATACGGTTTTGCTATTGATCTTTTATGTTAGAAAATTACCTGTTTTCCTCAGAGAATGCTCAGCCTGGTCAAATTCAGACCTAAGTGACATTCCTTAAAGGCAAAAGAGGCACTTTCTAATCATCCTCAGATACTACCATTCCACATTCTTCAGCCTCAGCTAGACACAAGAATTTCATGCTTTGAGACTGGAGACTCTGAGACCCACAAATATTTCTGGTTTGTTTTGTTGGGTGTTTTTTTTTTTGCCGAGGCAGAGAAAAGATTATTTAGGAAAAGATGATGAAAAGCTCCATGTTCCTAAAGCACTCACAGACTTCTTTTCCTAAAGTGAGTTATTTCCATGCACTCCCTGGAAGTTCATCCAATATTTCCATGTACTTCTTAAAACATATCTATCAGAAGTAGACAAAGTAACCCAGGAAGTATTCCCTGTAATTTCACTTCATTCAGAGGAGGACAGAGGAGCTCTATAGCTCCTTTCTGACATCCAAGAATCACATTAGCTTCTTTTCACCACTGCACAGCACAGCATTGACAGGTTCTCCTGCAATGTATCTGCTTTTGTCATTCCGTCCCTTTCTAAAATACAGTCTTACTGCAATATAGGTTAATATACACTTCATTGTCTTCCATCATGGTCCATTTGAATGAAAATATGTTTTGCTTGAATGTGACTAATCAACACAAACTATTCTGTGACTTTCACTAGTTTTACTCATTGTGTTTGCTTTCTACAAATTTCAAGAAGTAATAGTCCAGCACCTCAGTTCTATCTACATAGTTCTTAGTAACCAGGAGCTATTTTTTGTTAGAAACCGGCCTAGTGATGAGTATCTTCCCTTTAGCTAATTTTGAGATCATGCTACATCTGTTTTTCATTAACCAATAGACTGACAATTCTATATCACACTAAATAAAGTCATCGTGGTATTTGTGATAATATACAGCTAAATAGTCTGGAGTTCCCTCCATTATCCATTTTGCCCTTTCAGTATGAAAAGGTGGTTAGCATCGAAACAACATCCAGAGCAGAGCCAGCTCAATCGTCAGCCTCAGTGGAGGCTGGCATCGTCTTAGTGTTAACACGGACACTAGTGAGCTGAAAACATTTTCACATTTCCACTTGATACATTTTTCCTTTTGTTAATCTTTAATCCAGCCTTCTGTGATTTCACAGGACATTTGCTTTTCTGCTCTCCCATCTTACTGTTTCCTCCCATCTTACCTTCATTACTAATGTCTGACATCTCCACAGTTTGCTGGTAACAGAATCAGTTTTGCCTTGTCTAGAGTCAGCCTCAGGTATTTAAGGAGGGTCTCTGGGAATTACTGGAATAACTACATTCCCACCTAACTCAAGAATTAAGACATTGATGTGTGGTCAAAAATGCCATTCAAAATGTGCATACCAAGAAATCAGAAGTTTGTCTTCTTTCCCCTCAGGAAAAAAAAAAATAATCTTAACAATTTGCTAACCATCACTACTTGTGCTTGGCTCATTACCAGTCTCCCCTTTCCTTGACTGACTCCAAACTTTCAGTTTAATCAGCTGTCGAACACATGCACAATATCTAAAGAAAGGGTCCTTGTTCCTAACTGGGGTGTCTGGATACCGTGTCGTTGATCATAACCACACACAGTGGGCCTCTCCTCTGGTCCATGGAGAAAGTAAAAGGTTTTAAACGCACCTCTGCAGCAAACGTCAGCCAGATCACTGCTACTTTATATTGCAGTAATTTGCTGTACCCAGTTAAAAGTTATTATGTAGCAGCTTCTCGGAATAAGAATACTGTCCTGGGTTGAGCAACACAGGACTAACTTTTCTTCTAACGCTGGGGAAAACTGCACTTCTAGAGGACTCTAGTGTCTGACTTCATGAAAATATTTACTTTATAGCCAGCTGTGCTATGTGGGATTCAAGGTCTCAGTGTTTTTGAGTCTCGCCAGGTGCAGGGACAAGGAGGAGCAAAGCCTGGACATTTGACCCAGGCTGTCCAACAGGATTATTTCGTACCATGAATGTCACATGCAGTATAAATTAGAAAAGTTTGCTGCATAGTTTTCTCTCCCTTGATGGCAGTGGTCCAGAGAACTCCTCAACCTGGTGCTGGACCCCTGAGGCCTCCCCTTCCTCCCAAAGCCATTTTGTTCGTAGCGCCCAACATTTGTTGTCCACTGCTGGGAGTGCACAGCTTCCTACTGATACAAGTGGCAGAGTATAATTCTTGTATATCAGTATCAGGTATAATACTGGTTCCTTGGTATTATTGTAAATTATTTAGTCTTATCCTATTAAATCTACTTATATTTCAACCCTCATGTTTCTTTGTGTTCCCCAATTCCCCTTTCCAGGTAGGGAGGGGTCATTGGGTGATACAATAGTTGTCTAAATGACAACAAATTGTTATGGGTTTTCTCAAACCATAACAAATGTGTATAAACTAGTCTAGACAAACCTCAATTCTGTAGCATTCACCCAGTTCATGTTAAATGGCAAAACTGTCTAGGGGTCAACAAAACACATTTTTCAACTTCTTAGACTTAGTAGTTTCAGAAGTTCATGCACAAAAAGAAATTGCATTTCTTCTGAGAATATAAGACTGGTGAAAGTTGTTCTTGTTTTAAACTCCTAAAATAATTGAATTTCACTATTAGTCACACCTCACACCATAGTAGTATACTAGGAAGACACAGTAGGCAGCTCACGGTAACTTTCAGGTAATTTAAAATACAGCTTAAAATGGTTTAAGTTACAACTAATATGACCATATAGTAGGTTGCACAACTATGTCTAGACACTGCTAACACAATTGTCAGTAATGTGCTGTGCAGCTCAGGTTGGAGTGCTGGGCACACACGTGTGCAGAGGATCACTGTAGTTGCTGGAAGTAAAAGCAAGGATGATGCAAAGAAGTACCTAGAGTAGAGACAGCAAGAGTTGCAGAAAGAATATTACTGAGAAGACACTCCTTGATTCAGGATCCCCCTGGCTTGTGACTTTGACTTCTCTTATAGGGCTTGTTAAAAACATACCCCCAAGAGGAATTTTCTGGAGCTCTATTCTAGTATAAGAAATGCTTTCCTGAAACTAAAGCGGGGCTGTGATGGTAGTACGTATTCTGAGGGGGTACCACACATAAGACACAATTTCTGTTATGGTGTATTACTTTCATAGTCACTTTTACCTGGATTAATACTCTTTTACAGAGACCAGCTTTCACCAGAGATTTTGCAATCCAGCGAGCTGCATATGCTGCGGAACGATCAACTTTAGAAGGATCTTTTCCAGAGAATGCACCTCCACCATGAGCTCCCCAGCCTCCATAGGTATCAACAATGATCTTCCTGCCAGTCAATCCAGCATCACTCTGCAGGACAAACAATCGAATTCGTTCGCGGGACAAAACAGTTTACCCAATCCACACTACATTATGGGGTGCAGCTTTGTTTTGTATTTGGCACAGATATGACTCATAGCGTTCATCTTCACATGCAAACGTTTAATGAATGAGGTCTACCTGACTGGAATATTTTTCAAGAGATGTACTAAACTGCCTGTGCTGCAGTCACCTTTGAAAAACAGATAAGAATGTGGCACAACTGTAAACATCACAAAAAGCGTGCTTCCTTTAGATCAGCAACCATGAAATACTATCTCTGGAGTACCGGCCAATGACTTCACTCAGTAACGTTTCATAGAGGCCAAGAACTTAGAGAGAAAAAAGCCTTCCTGAGAAACAGATCACATATGACCTAAAAAGTTAATAAGCTTCACTTACATACACATGCTAAAGAGGAAGTGAGGGCTTCATAGAGCTGCAGCTCAGTGCTGCCAGTGTAAGAGTACAGAGAGATTGTAGCTGAGTTCACCTTAATGCTTCAGTAGTGGCACAAGGACCACTTGGTACTTCTTTCTTCCTACCTGCCCCACCCTCTTGCATGGACTTTTGTCCGCCTCCTACAACCTGATCCAAGATGTTCAACCAGCAGAGAATTATTGCCTTTCTGTCAGATTAGCAAAACTGGTGACTGCAAGCTGATGAATGCTCTCCAGAGCATTGAGAAACTCCATTCTAAAAGAGGATAAACTGCATTAATCCACTAATTCTAATTTCCCAAATAAGTAATACAAGTGTAAAGCTGACTTTTTTTTTCTCAATGGAAGCAGCATCCCTGCATCATCCCAATGCGATCATAAGCACACGTAGTTTTAATCCTTCACTGATCTCTTTATACAAAACTAAACAATTTTGTGTAACAAAACTTTTTACAATTTTGCAGCAATGACCTGCTTACCTAGAACCTGGAAAGCAGAACATGTGTCAAATTCTAATGACTACTGAAACTCGATATATTAAGGTCTCCCTTGAATTGTTCAGCTTTCTGAATAATTTTAATATATAAGATCAGATCTGTTGTTATTTCTGGTTTTGATTTATATTGTGAAAGTGAAGAGATACTTCCAGTCATGCATTTTAGCATGTAACTTAAGGGATGGCTTTTGGTCATTTAAAATACTTTCTGGAAGCAAGACAAAGATCCAAGAATCCACACATTTCGCTGTCCAAGCAGGTATAGCTTCAGTTTAGATGCCAGCCATCCAGTAGGAAAATTCCAGTAGAAATGGAGAATGAACACCTTCTTAAAAAAAGCATAGACTTTCTTGGTTAAAGATATACCAGCTCATTGTACTTTTGTTCAAGAGAACATTTAGAAGCATGTGGCAAAGTAGAATCCAAGTCTGCAAAGGGTGTCCACTTTCAAAGTTATCATACCTTGGGACCACCTTCTACAAACTTTTCACTTGGAAGGAGATGATAAATTGTCCCCTCATCAAGGTACTTCTCCGGAATGACTTCTTTAACAACTTTCTCCATTAGCTCCTTCTGCATTTGTTGCAGAGGCATGTCTGGGGCATGATGTACTGAAATCACAAGTGTGTGCACTCGGATGGGCTCCAATGCACCGTTAGTCTCCTTGTATTCCATTGTGACCTAGAGAGGAAAACAAAAAGGACAGTGAACTCTCAAGGCCAAGAGCACCAGTTTGAAAAGTGAAAGTGAACCACACAGGTATTTTCTGCAAAAAAAAAAAAAAATGGATTAAGAGAAATGGAATGAGAAATGATGTGCTGTTGCTGATGCTTAAAATCACTGTAAGAAAAAAAATACAGAAAGTACTGGGTACCCTATGTACCTTATGAAATTCACATCACCTTGGAACATGAAAATGACAGCACCATTTTTGACAAGCATGAATTCTAATTTAGCAGCAGACAGAGTAAATTATTTCTATTGTTTCTCATACTTACAGTTTCTGCATCTACATTACAAACCTGTGTTTTCCCATCTGGTCTAACCCAGGCCCATGTTCCATTCCGTTCCAGAGCCTTTATGCGTGCAGTCAGTTTGTGTGCCAGGAGGACTGTTAGGGGCATACATTCCTCTGTTTCATCAGTGGCATAGCCAAACATCAAACCCTGCATTGGAAAACAAGGAAGTGCATTGAAAGATGGGAAAATAAGCCGCTTGTTTCCATGTTCTCTTTCAATTTTTGCGCTTGCCTTTAGTATCATATATACTTTAGTACCATATAGTACTGCCATAGTACCTTAAAAACAGGCAAGCCTAGAAAGAGAAACCACTGACATGCAGAGTGAATACACTTTGACGCAAAACCAGCCTGAAGTAACATTTATGCATCAGCATGCACAATCATCACAGCCACAGCAAAGTCTGATTCCGAAGAATGACTCTACCTTAAGCATCCATAAGAATCCACTGCAAAAACTTAATAGACATAAAGCTCATAAAGACTGAATCGTCTTCTCCCCACACATGACAACTAAAATAACACAGCATTTGATGCCTAAGAAGTAAAACCAGGCTACCCTAAAGGACTTGAAAGACCAGAAACTGACACCAGCTGATAAAAAAACTAGTTGTAGCTCTATCCAGTAAGGGCACTGGATATGGGAAAAGCTGCATTTGCTGAAGACCGTGTTACTTCTTAGCACTTCTGGGGATTAAGAGCTGCATAGTGTTTAGCTCCTAATTCTTACACGTTGCACAAGCCTTTCCTTTTGAGGAAAGGCTCTGGTCCAACACAATTCTAATTGCTTGAGTAAGTGCCTGGAATTAAGCCCCATTACCTGATCCCCTGCTCCAATGTCATCGTCATTCTTTCCATGGGAGACAGCATGCTTGATCTCTTTACATTGTTGTTCTAAGGCCACTAAAACTGTGCAAGTCTTATAGTCCAGTCCTAGTGAAGGGAGTTTTGTAAAGTTAGGTCGTACATTCTTGAGGGTTCACAGATTGCTAGAAAAGCTTTTATGGATTATCTAGTTATCTTGGGTAAAACTTTAAAACTCTAAGCATGTAAGCTTCCTATACCATGTGTTGCATTGCTAATAGAAGCAGAGTGTCAGCACATTTATAACAGTCTCAGGATGTGGGCAAGTTAGTGGTATTAGTTCAAATTTGTGCTCTTGAAACTGAGAGGATAAGTGTAATCCTACAAACTGCCCCACCAAAGCTTGTTATGTTGCTTATGATGACTAGGGTTCAAACCATTTGGGTACTAAAGCTGGGAGGGGAACAGGGAAATATTACCAGAACAGTATTCAGTTTCTCTAGTAGTAGGTTCTAGGGTTCAAAAGAATGAGAGAAAAGCTGTATATATCATGCATGAAAAGGGAAGACTGAATGAAAATAATCATGTAAGGGGTTCAACTGCTGAAAGGAACCTACTTTGGAAAATATGTTAAGAATACATAAATAAATAAATAAAGAAAGAAAGAAAGAAAGAAATAAAGTTCACACCCTGGGTGTGAACTTCAAGTGTCATAGGCTTATGCATCCCAAGGACCCAAGGACAAGGAATATCAACGATAAAGCTTTCACTGTCCAAACCTGCAGATGTAACCACTTTCTGACATTTGTGCAAACACTAGTTACTCTGCATCAGAGAAGCAAGAGGCACTGGCACTTCAAGAATAACTCTTTCATAAATATGCCACCTAAAAATAGCTCCTTCAGTACCAGGCACTAAAAAATGCTTATCAACATCTGTGCAGTTTTCTTATAGGCCTGGAGACACATTTCATTTTATTTTCTGGAAGACCATAAAAACATGACTTTAGCCACATGTAGAACAGACAGACGAATGAACACATGAAGGATCTCATTCACCTTTGGAAGAGTCATCATACCCTATCCTCTTAAGGGTCTCTCTTACAATTTGTTGGTAATCCACTATAGCCCGGGATGTGATCTCTCCACAAAGCAAAATCATTCCGGTTTTCACTACACACTCTGAAGAAAAAAAAAAAGAAACATCAGAATTTTACTGCTACCATTTTACAGTTACATAGGGAGATTCTGAAGATGGTCCTATGAACAAGGGATTAGTCAAAGAGGAAACTCAGTGTACAGCCTTAGCATACATATAGGTCTGCATGCAACCACTCTTCTCTTCAGCTGATATGAATGCCTGCATGGAGGGAAGTCCATCTTACCCAGATATCCTATCTCCACAGTGGCCAGCAGCAAACATCTATAAGAATAGGTCAAGTATATAGTGCTATTTCTCCAAATTCTCCCCTGCTCTCCAACAATTTCAGCTCAGGGTCTTCCTGAAGCTAAAGGGAAGTCATTTGTTAACAGATGGCATTGCAAGTCTCTGATAGATTTTTCTTACAGTATTTTACCCACTTGCCCTTGCAACTACAAAAACTTTTAGCATCTACAGGATCCTAGAGCAAGAAGCTATGCAACTTCATTACAAATTTTGTGCAGAATCGTCTCATATTTTATTCCATTGCTTGTTTCAAGTGTCCACCTGGCCTCCAAACTGTTACATTTTATGTTAAAACATATAGCAAACAGGCACAAAAAAAATCACCACATCAATATGACCTACAGCTCTGTAACTCTATTGCATATTCTATTCAATTTTCTCTTTTCCAGACTGGAAAGGCCTAGGTTATTCACTGAAAAATACTGTATGGCTATGATAATATTCATTACCCCTACCATACAATCTTACTGTAGCCTTTTTTGGCATGGAGAAAGAGAAACTGATTGAACACAGTATTCAAGACAGGCAGTCATGGATTTATGTGACTTAATGGTCTCAGTTCCACTCTTCATTCTGTTCCCAGCAAGCCCTAACAGTCAGGTCAGATTTTTACTGTTACTGAGCACTGGCTCTTTTCACATAAACATATGTCTGTTACAACCCCAAAATCTCTTTTCTGAATGCTTGCTTCCTTTCTATGTATGGGGATAAGATTGCTCCCTTTCCCCTTGCTTTAGCCTACACTGAAGTTCTACCATCACTTTTATCATCCAGTCACCACCTCATTTGAATAATTTTATTTGATTTCAAAATTAAGTATTACAGGCAGGAATATTCTATATATTCTATATTCTATATTCTATAAAATTGTACAATTATGGACTGCGGCATCACAAAGATAATCAAGCTAGCTTTAGCTGGCAGCTTAGCTTAGATATAATCCAGACAAGCAGTTAAGACTTTAACACGGGGCAAACTTTCTCTGTCTGCAAGAGGAATTAATCTATATTGAACTATTAAGCAACATCCTGGCTCGCGCAGTATCTCTGAATTACACTGTGGGCAAAGCGAGATTCCATAATACAGTAGCCCTAAATGTGTACAGCACATTAACCAAAGGTAGCTATAACTGTACAGTGCAGGGTATCCTGGTACCATTATTTTCACACTCAGTCTTGTGTCCCTGCTCTACTGACCAGAAGCCCTCTTCTGATCTGTTACATCCTAGCAGACCACCTATGTGTGTGAGGCATGTATGGTGCTGTGAATCCTGCACTGGGGGAAGAGACCCTGTATTACAGCTGTGAGGCAGAGAAGAACAGCTCTCAGCTTTTCCAGTATGGTCATTACAAAAAGGGGAAGCCTCTCTGGAAGAACACAAAGTTGGGGCACTGGGCCTTAGTGAGATGGAAGAGCAAGGCTGCAGTCACCACCAGCAGTCCCTAGAAACTCTCCCATACCCAATACAGCCAAGCAAAGCTTGATGGTGATGCAAGACTTCACAGCACGACGATGCTTTTTTAGTAGCAGGATAGAAAGATTCATCTTCCTACCTTTCACTGCTTTCCATCCTGACTGAAATTTAATTCAACTGAAACAAAACACAGTTTGGGAAGTGCACTATCACTGCATCTTACAAATGAGCCCAAGCAACACCCCCATCTGCTTTGACCTAAAGGAAGTTACCATATAAGGTTTTGGGCTCTTCACTGGGGGGTGATTCCTTACATGTTTAAGTCTCCACAAAAAAAAATATTTTGAACACATCAGTAGGTAGAAACTTTCATTTTCTCTTTTGTACTGTCTTGGCTTATGGTTAGTTAATTTTCACTCTTTACTCTCATTTATTGGGTATACTGGGAAGGGCTTCTTTTTCAAGAAAGCATTTGGCTTCACTTAATCAAAGAGGAAGTAGAACAATTATTCTGCCTTCTGCTTTATGCTAATTGCAGACAGTATTGTCTTGCTTCACTTTATTGCTACCTGGTGTGTTGGCAGCACAAAGACGGACCAGTTCTGTCCTGCCAAAATGAGCTAGCACCTGTGTAATAATTCAGAACTTAGTATGCAAAACTTGTTTATCCTAAAAGCCCACGCAGCAAAAAAAACCTCAGAGAAGCATAGACACCTTTTTCTACTGATAGCCAGAGTCTAGTTTAAACATCTCTGTAAACTACATTTCATAGTTTTGTAAAACACAATGTTACAGTGACTTAGTACTTACATAACGCTTCAAGATTTTTTCTCTGAAACTGTGAGGCAAGACCTGCACAACTGAAGAGAAATTCTGTTTTTCACCCAGTAAACCCTGTATTGAGTGCCATAACTGCTTTCAGTTCTCCAGCCTACTACTTCTTTAGAAAAATCTGTGTCTGGTTAACAAATTTATCTTCTCCAGATTTATGCTTCAATATTATATTCAAGTTTTCTGACTCCAGTGAGCAGTTCTGATATGTTTTTTTCCTGACATATGACAGAAATCAGGGATTTATCTATGTAATCATGTCACACCTCATTCATCTTTTTTTGGTAAGACAAACTGATCATGTTTCTTACGTCTCTTATGACACATTTTTCAGCCCTTATAATTTTACAGCATTTCTCTGTTACCAACTTCAGCTTTTCAGCACTTTGGAAGCGTAACAGCCTGCAATATTTAAATACATGCTTCATCAAGTTTAACATGTATGCTAAACCCTCCCCCCCATGTCTGTTCACTGCTCACATCTATGCATCAAGGATCACATGAAATTTTTCAGATGAAGCGTCATTTTAGATTACTGTATTTGTGGGATGCAGCTAGTCCTCTAACTAGAGCCTTGATGGCTTGTTGTAAGAAAAAAATTACTGTATTCGGAGAGGTTTTTAGACATGTTCCTTTTCTGTGTCCGTTCACCCTTGGCAATCCAGCTAATTCCAACATGATAATATGTTCTTAGCCTCTGGAAGAGGTGATGTTGCTAGTGACAACAGCCATGTAAAATACAGGGTAGTTCTAACAGTCCCATGAAAAAAGGAAGCCCCTGATCAGAATCACATTTGAATGATCTGTGCAGCTATCTTCCTGTGAACCAAGGGCATCACCCTGCTTAAAGCACAGTAAATGTCTATTTAGGACTTTTGGATTTTGAGTTTTATTAGCACCTTTTACTCACTCTATGAAGAAATGCACCTTGACTTACGTTTTTCCTCAGTTCCTTTTTCCCTAATTTTCTTAGATTCCTCATTATCATTAGCCCTGTCAAACACAGTTTTCCCTGATACCACTGGCTTCTCCTGGTCTATTTCTTACATCTCATTATTTTTAATTTGCACCAGAGTACTATGTATTTCCTTTTTTCTGTTTATTTTTTGCAGCTTTTTTTTCTTCCTTCCCTTCTCTTCTGAGTCAGTGTGACAGAGCTGGCCCCTTCACTGACTGTGAAAGTGTTGACTGTCAGCCAGCTATTGTAAGAATTTTGGATCACAGGATGCTATATCAACATGAATTACTTGTTGTACTTCATTAATCTGCTTTTCTATCTGTCTTGTACTTACCACAGGCAACCTTGGCATCTGGATCAATACTGAGATGAGCGTCTAGAACAGCATCACTTATCTGATCACACATCTTATCTAGAAGATAAATATCAGACAGACATAACATTTCCTTTTGTGTTAACAACAACAAAGAAGTGATTTCTTAATGAAATTTCACTGTCAGTGGTCAAGAGTCTTCTGTTTACAGAGCATCTGCCAAGAGGCAATCAGAACAATTTATATTCTGAAATATCTCATTTTCACTCCTCTCTTCAACTCAACCTTAACTGACATTTTACTATCATCTACAGAGGCAGGCAGCCTCCCAAGGGAGGCAACAATGAAAATGCCTGCAAAGGCACCCTGAAATATTAGTTTTAGGAGAATAGAAGATACAAGTAGTAACTTTGGAAGAAGTATTTAACCTAAGACCTATCTGTAGGGGTTTTACATTCTTCTCTTTATTTTAAACTTTGCATTGCATTTTCTGTGTGAATTACCTACTTTGATCTACATCTTAAAAGTGCCAGAGGTCTGCACTTACAGCATACAGCAGTGTTTACCCCGTCAGTATCTCTGCTGGGGACCTCTGAAATCTCACGTGTGAACTTTTTGGATGACAAGAGGCATTGCTCTCCCTACAAACAGGCATACTAGATTGAAGTCCACTCCTGAAATTATTCAGAACTATCTGGCTCATTTGAGTTTAGAAAACATTCTCTCAGGGACAAACATTGGCCACTCACAAGTTTCCACAGTTATATTCCTGAGGTTTGATTTTTTCTAGTACAAAATCACTGGAGAAAAAAGTTTTTACCTATTCTGTCTCTAGACCCTATAACTTATTGTCCAGGGAAGAGCTAAGTATGCCAAATGCATTTGGTTTGTTAAAAGTTAATAAACAATTTAGGGGACTGTTGTGGTTTAACTCCATCCACCAACTAGGACCATGCAGTCTCTCAGTCACCCTCTCTTTCCCCCAGGAAGCCGAGGGAGAAAAGGAGGGGAGAAAGGGAAAAAAAAACCTCCTGGGTTGAGATAAAGACAGTTTAATGGAACAATAATGGAAAAGGAAAAATAATAGTAATACTACTACTACAAATAATAGTAAAAGGATATACATGATAACAAGTCATTCTCACTGCTCAGTGAATTGGTTGCCCAGCCTGATCTGAGCTGAGATCATGATTCCCCTCCCCTTGCCAACCGAGCACGACATCTATGGTACAGAATATTCCATTGGCCATTCTATTGTTCTGCCTATGCTTCTTCTCAGCTTCTCTAAGAAGCTGAAAAAAGTCCTTGACTAGTATCAACATCACTTGGCAACAACTAAAACACTATATTTTATTGACATTCATAAGAAATCTGAAAACACAGCAACTGCTAGAAAGAAAATTAACTCTATCTCAGCTGAAACCAGGACAGGGACAAATTGAGATTCTTTGTCTCATCAGGGTAACTGAGCCAAAAGCTCAGGTAAAGCTGAGGTAAAAGCAATCCATATTATTTCTTCAAAAGTACAGCTTTGAAAGGTTGCATATCTGCAGAATCAACCAGAGGAGTATGAATCAATCTTCACCCACCATCATTACAAAAAAGGGTATCCAAAATATGTTCAGCCACACAGCTACACAGCTGGATCTATGACACAGTCTGTATCAATGAGCCAGGTGCTTATATTGTTTGCAACAGCCTATATAATTATCTATGTAATTGCCAATCTAAAATAACTTCTCTTGCAAAAGTGAGTACCATTATATATATATATATATATATATATATATATATATATATAGGTGTAAACTCAAAGGCCCAAAGAGGAAGTTAATGAAGAAGCATAACTGAATATCCACCTTAAGCTACTTATTTACTTTTAAAGATAATCTGTTCTGGAAGCAAATAAATATCAGAATGAAATTATAAGGTAAGAGCAGAGTTATCCCAAAAGAACTGTAATTCAATGCAAAGTTTAAGTGCAAATTGAATTTTAGTAGAACTGTAGAATACTATATTCCAGTACAATCTAAAAGCAAGGAAAAGTGGAACATGTTAGCCAGTGTCTTTGAACGGATGAGCCATTTTGCCATCAATACTGCCTCACTCAAATACAAACCAAAAACAAGCTGAAAGCAACGCACAAGTTCTAAAAATGTATATGCTCATTTTATTTACACAGGCTACAGTGACCTCACTGTAAGCATGAGATTTGCTTATGGACATGCAAAGGTCTGTTCTTCACTGGCATAATTTTCAAAATCTGCATCAGCAATTTCCGTATCTTTGTGTTTTGTTTCTAGTGTTTTCCCCATGAAGTTGAAGCTAAATGTTTAACTGTGCATTTCATACACATCTGCAAAGGCAGTTCAACAATTTAGAGGCTTGGACAAAAAAACAAAATAAGAAAAGCCAGCTTGATATCTGTAAAGCCTGTCTTCAGCTGTTTGTGCTCCACCGATCCCCAGCTCAAGCCTCATCTTACTGAAATTTCTTGCTAGTATATTTACTGAGAAAATCAGAATCCAGTTACTTGTTATACTGTACCTTCACTGATAAAAATCTACCACAGTTCGAAGACACAAGGACATAAGAAGACAGAATCATCATGCGGTCATAATTTCATGCCCAGAAATCATTTGTGCAATCAAGTATAAAGTTAGCAAATGCCAAAGTTCCAAAGTTTGTCATTGGACTAGATTGTCAACAACCCTGAGGCAAACTGAGTCCTGAAGACTGCAAAATTAATCCACGCCAGTGGGTCCAATGCTCAAGCAGGAATGGCATAACCTGGAACAACTGATAAGTTTTATTGGGTTCAGCTACTTGCAGCACTACAACATACAGTGCAGCTTTTTAAAGCAAACAACTGGTTGTAGTGGTTCAAGATATGATGACACATGCTGCAGTGATCTTGCAGCTGTTGGACTGTTCGCTAGGGGCTCGGCAGACAGACTAATAGAACTGGTCTCACACTCATTCTAATGAATAAGAATCCTGAGAGTGCAGATACACAAGGAAAAGTCAGCTGCAAAGCTTCAGTGTTTGACACCACCCTCATTTTCTCATTATTAGGGTTTTTTTTTCTTTCCTTCTATGGAAAAAGCATGAGGTGATGTTATTTTTAGTCTTAGCATTAAAATGCCCTATTTGAAGGTTCTACCATAAAAGGAACTCTTACTACCTTTACTGTAAATTTGAATCACTAGTATGTCTGCTGGAGGTCCAAACTTCCTCCAGTCCATCAGTTAACATAGCCTCTAGATACGTGTTTGTGTAAACAAAGCTACATGAAAAATAGCTGAATTTAATGAATAGCAATTAGAGCTGAAGCACTGCCTTGCAGTCCCAGACCTGGAAAATATTTTGTACAGCCTGCTGCTTATGTAAATTTGTGTAAGGGAGATCAACGTGGCAAAGAGGCGTATATAGTATTACAGCAGTATGTGGAATGCAGCTCTGAAGGGCAAATCAATGCTTAGTGTTCAACATGTTCCAGAGATTCAGTGTTTAATGGTCACTTATAATAAGCATGTGCACAAAGTAGTATTTTTTCATTACAGAATTAAAAATGAAATTCTGATTCCAGTATATGTGGCAGCTCCACGTCTACCTGTAGAAGACCTCGGCATGCTTTTTTCTCTCTTGCGATAGTTTCTAGTCTATGCCAGATTATATTGCATACTAAACAAATAAGCCAAATTCTTGTCATGTAAATAAAGACATTAATCTGAAGTCTATTTGAAAAAAAATTTATTGGTTCTTTCTTTTCTCTATTGGGGGACATATGACTGAACTTTCATCAGTTAGCATTCTTCAGTGCAAGTATTAGTAAAAGCAAAGATTCAATCAGCATTTTTACTTACCAGAATGTCCTTCAGCAACAGATTCTGAGGTGAAAAGAAATCGTTTTTCTTTTTTTGAGGTATGAATTGACATGTCTTGGTATCCTTAGCAAGCCTGCAAATGAGAAAGACCCAAAGCAAGTGGACTACAGAACAAGCACAGGCAGAAGGTGAAGTGGAAAGGTTAATCTATCTATGCAAACAAGGGAGGTAATTGCTTCTGCATGTTTGTTCCTCAGAAGTTCAATAGATGAAGGCTAATCTGTGTGGATTTTACAATGCACTGCTACAGAAACTCCTTTCATAAGACTTCTGTGTTTGCTTAACCTTAGCCCCGCTAAACTCTGCAAAAGTGTTATCATTATATGAAATGTGAACACAGCTAAGCCAGAGTTCAGTGCTTTCGCACACTTCCCCAAGCCTCCACTCTTAGTTCTAAGGGCTAACAAAACAGCACTTCAAGATAGTAACACAGCACAGAGATTTAATCTGCATTTATAAGGGTGAATGATGCTTTCTCCTAGGCATCCATACATCGTACTCAGCCACAGCAGTGACCTGTGCAGAAATGTATCTCTCTTTATGTGAGAACAGACGTTCATCATCGCTCCTGGTGGTTAAACTGTGCTCTTTTTCCCAAATACTGTGTGTGTCAGTGGCTAAGTGAGGAGCTGTAGAGCAACCAACAGCATGCTTTGTAGAAACAGCTACGAAGACAGTGGGTTCATTGTAAGTTACCTTGAATTCTGAGACTGATTTATTGAGCCAGAGCATAACTTTTAATCTTGTCAATGCTCAGGCTCTCACAATTCATTTCACACACCCCTCTTGTCTTACCATTTACCTTGATGAAGAGATACTAGTAGGAAGCAGCTGGACTAAGGTGTCAGAACTAAGCCAAGAAGCGCTGCCTCTTTGGAAGCGCTGTTTGACTTTGGCTTATTTCAGAACACACTGCAACAGGACAGTGTTGCAAAGGTACCTAGGAACATCTGGTCTTAAAACCACTTGTCCAGCTGAGCAGCTCTACAGTGCTGCAATACATTATGTTGAGCTCAGCTTCTCTAAATCAGTAGTCATTTCTGAAAATGTTGCTGCATAACCTAAGCACATTAAACAGTAAAAGAGTGGCACCAAGACACAAGTACAACTTCAGCTGCAGCTGAAGGCTTTACTACTGGTCATCACAAGCAAACATCATCCTCTAGCAGACCATCATCAAACCCCACAAGAGATGTGTGTTCATTCTGCAAAGAAATCTTCACTGCTAGGAAGCAACATGCCACCACTTCAGGACATTTCCCCGTAGCTCATGAGTTATATAAGGTAATAAAAGCGGAAACGAAGGCAAAGCACTTAGACAAATGAGTCCAAGCCAACTCGCAAAAAAAATAAAGCAAAATTGTATTTCGGCTGCAAGAACAACAGGAGAAGGCACTGCCTAAGTGTGGTAACACAAGTGTTAGCTAGTGTGCTGTAACAGGCCAGTCACCCTTGTTGAAACCCACCACTCTACAGAGTGATACATGAAGAGGTGACTTGGTTGGAGGAAAGAGACTGTCTGCACCTCTTTTGGTTTTGCCTTCTTTTTTTTTTTTTTTTAATCCTAGGAGCAAATCAGCAGATAACAACAAAACCCTCCAGTTCTCAGAGAACATGATTGCTGAAGTGTGTGTGAAGGAGAGCAATAAAGAGGAAGACTTTAAACCACAGTTAATGATTATCAGAGTGCCCTATGAAATCCATTAACTTACCTATTTCATTGCCTTTCTTTAGCTCCAGAATTTATTATGATACAATACAAAATTAAACTAGTCATACAGAGATTTGTGTACCTGGAGGTCATTCAATTCTGTGCAATAAATACACTTTGAGCTTAAATTATGTTCCATAAAACACTTCATACAAAGCACTGAAAAACATTTGTATAAAGAATTTGAGTTTCTTCCACCATTAATTCATATTATGCTGCATTCAACAATACTTGTGATTGACATTGTGTCTTATACACTATTCTCATTCAACATATGATCCTTGGTATGTTTTATAACATACCGAAGAACCCAATACAGGTTAGGGATGGATCTTCTGGGAAGTATTACTGAGGAAAAGGATCTGGGGGTCCTGGTAGATAGCACATTTTCCATGCGCCAGCAATGTGCCCTTGTTGCCAAGAGGCCCAATGGAATCCTGGGCTGTGTAGGAAAGAGTGTGGCCAGTAGGTCGAGGGAGGTCATTCTGCCCCTTTACTCTGCACTGGTGAGGCCACAACTGGAATACTGCATCCAGTTCTGGGCTCCCCAGTTCAAGAGGGACAGGGAACTACTGGAGAGAGTCCAGTGTAGGGCAACAACGATGATTAAGGGATTGGAGCACCTCCCTTATGAGGAAAGGCTCAAGGAGCTGGGACTCTTTAGCCTGGACAAGCAAAGACTGAGGGGAGACCTCATGTATGTTTATAAGTATCTAAAGGGTGAGTTGAAGGATGTTGGAGCCGGACTGTTTTCAGTGGTTTCCAAAGATAGGACGAGGGGCAACAGGCTCAAGCTGGAACATAGAAAGTTCCATTCAAATATGAGAAAAAACTTCTTTACAGTGAGGGTGATGGAGCCCTGGAACAGGCTGCCCAGGGGGGTCATGGAGTCCCCTTCTCTGGAGATCTTCAAGACCCGCCTGGATGCAGTCCTGAGTAATGTGCTCTGGGCAATCCTGCTTTAGCAGGAGAGTTGGACCAGATGATCTCTAGAGGTCCCTTCCAACTCTGACAATTCCGTGATTCCGTGATAATGTAGACTATACATACAGTCCAACCCCAGCCTTGAATGTAAAAGAAAAAATGTATATACAAATAATAATCAACCTTTGTAAGCAAGAAACCCTAAAAAAGAAGAAAAAGGAGGCAAGAGACACCAGAGCAGAAAAAAGAGGTACCAGGGCAGAATCACAGAATCACAGAATCTTAGTGGTTGGAAGGGACCTCTGAGATCATCAAGTCCAACCACAAAAACAAAACAAAACAAAACAAAACAAAACAAAACAAAACAAACCCAAAACCACCACACCACACCAAATGCCCACCAAAAACACCACACCCACCAACTAAACCCCACACTGAACACCTCGCCATAAACCAATAACATTGGGCACTAGAGCATGCCCTGAAGAGCCATGTCTATACGTTTCTTAAATACCTCCAGGGATGGTGACTCCACCACCTCCCTGGGCAGGCTGTTCCAGTGCCTGACCACTCTCTCAGTAAAGTAATTCTTTCTAATATCTAATCTAAATCTCCCTTGCCACAACTTCAGACCATTTCCTCTGGTCTTGTCGTTCGTCCTTTGGGAGAAGAGGCCAACACCTGCCTCTCTACAACCTCCTTTCAGGTAGTTGTAGAGGGCAATGAAGTCTCCCCTCAGCCTCCTCTTCTCCAAACTAAACATGCCCAGTTCCCTCAGCCTCTCCTCATAGGACTCGTTCTCCAGACCCGTCACCAGCTTGGTGGCTCTCTTCTGGACACGCTCCAGCACTTCAATGTCCTTCCTGTAGTGAGGGGCCCAAAACTGAACACAGTACTCGAGGTGAGGCCTCACCAGGGCGTTTGTGCTTGGGATTGCCCCGAACCACACGCAGGCCCTTCCCCTTGGCCTGACAGAACTCCCTGCCGTTTGCAGCCTCTCCCTCCCGCCTTCCTTTCTTTCCTCCCCCCACCGCTCATCGTAAGGC